TGGAGTGGGCAAAGCATATATTGTAGTCATTTTCTGTCATTCTCATTCTAGACTTTATGTATTTGTTGATTTTCTTAATTTTTATCTCCTAAAATGAATTTGAATGATTAGTAAAAAAAAGTCAAATATGTATTCTATATATATATAAAATTATAAATAAAAATATTTGATTAAATTAGATTTAGATCTATGCTATTATTATTATTATTTTAATTTAAGTTTAATTATGAATGAATAGAAAACTAACTAATTTTCTACCAAATTTATAATCAATTAAGTGAAAAAATATATTCATTTTCAAAATCCTTAGTTTTACTTAGAGAGAAAAGTCTATGACCAGCCGAAATTAAAAGACCCGCGTTATTGACATTTTGCAAATGTAAGTCATGAGAAAACAACCTTCCTTAATTTTTCTGCATACCTTATTTTAATTTGATCTAACCAACAAGACAGAAGTTTTCACACAATACAAGAAATGAGATTTTTAGTAATAAATTTTTTTAATAAATGTTAAAATTAATATTATAATTCATTATATTTATGACAGATTTAAAAAATTAATCATAAATGCATGTATGTTTAATAATGATAGAAAAAATTTGTCATTGAAAAAATATTTCATTACTAAAAACTTATCACAAATAAAAAATAAGTTTGTAACAATAAAAATCATCACTATAACCCATCTCAATTAATACAAATTTCAAATAATAATCACATATATTTCTACATTCAATGATAACCAAATAATTTATAACAAAAAATATATTTCATCATTAAAAATTATCACAAAAAGAATATATACTTATGATGATGAAAACCATCACTAAAACTCATCATTATTTTGATAAATTTAAACTTTTGATCACAAATATTTACATGTTCAATGATAATAAAAAAATTCATTATTAAAGAGATATTTTGTCGCTAAAAAACAGTTACAAATAAAATATAAAATTTTAATAATAAAATTCATCATTAAAATTCATCACAAATCTAAAATATTATCTAAATGAACTGGGCTTCGTTGTCAGTGATAAAAGAGAGTAACCGTCAAACACCGATACTAATCTAAGTCTACGGAAGAGCCCACGTCAAATGACCTAGAAGCACCCAAATGACGACTTTGAAGCCCCCACCTTAAATGAACCAGACCCACCCCAAATTCTATTACCAATAATACTAATCCAAGTCCATGGAAGACCCCACGTCAAATTACCCAGATGCACGCTAAATGATGGTTTTGAAGGTCCACGTTAAATTTCAATATCAATGGTAGTACTAATCCAAGTTCACAGAAGGCCCAAATCAAAGGTCCTACCACACAAGACCCAATTCACATTTTAATACGAATCGACGTTTCCGCTGGAACCTTTAACCAATAAAAATATCCAATAATCTTTTTTAAAATTATGGCAAATCTTTATATTGATAAAAAAATTATGGAACTAGATTTCTTCCAAAATGAAACAGCAATTTACAAAGGTGAATAATTACAATTTACTGTGTTATTTCTTGTGTCTTATAGTTATTCTATATCTCAAGAAAAAAGTTCAATCTTATTTAAGTTTTCTTTAATTAATACATCATACATCCATAAAAGAATACATAAAAAAATAAAGTTTTGTATTATAAATATATTCTACATCGGTGAAAAATATTTAAAAAAATAAAGTTTTACACTATAAAACTAGTGACTATATGCAAAATAATTGATTGACACTTGTGTTAATTTTATTTATTTGAGCTCTATTTGAGCAATATAATGTGAAGCTCAAATTTTAATCGGATTTAATTAATTTTAATCAAAATTTATTAGTATTGAAATAATAATATTTTTTATTAAACTTTTGTGACAAATATATATATCAATTTTTTTGTGACAGAATTATTTTACAGTAATTTTTCATGACTACTTTTTTTGTCACTCA